ATTTTAACGCGTCTTAGGTCCGTAGTGCCATAGTGACACTTTTCCGGATATGGGTCCCTATACTCAAATGTTTTCTACTGTTACATTTAATAACCTCTACAAGTTTGATCCCATAGTTCTGAAACACCCTGTATACTTGAGGAGCGATATTTTGGAAATCAAATAATTTTTATTAGAGCATATCCAAACTGGCTGAACGGCTTTCTGATTATTATGGGAAAAGTCAAACAAAACTTTCGCGGGGCTTAATGTGCGAATCTTCTTACTTCTGAATCGCACCTAGACAAATTCTGTTTGATCTGAATTTTACACTCTTACTTACAGTTGATCATGGATAAATATAGAACACAAACAATAATATCACAAGTTCGTATAAAGGAATGTCCTACAGATGCATATACATGCATGCCCCTAAAAAACGTTTCTGGAAATGTGTTTCTCTCAAATAAGTTTTGAGTGCAGGGTACAACGAAATTTCGACAACCTTATAACTACCTGAGACCTCACGTGGTAGAGTTATAGAAAACAATTGACAAGCTTAGATCCCCCCCAACGTAATAGTGCTAAATCCTGTATCATGATAGATCAACGAGAACAACTTTTTGGGAAGCCTAATCTTTGAGCTAAAAACTTTTATAGACCATTTCTGAGAAAAACACTCTTATTTTAGCGGAGTTCTCTAAATTTTGCCACTAGATCCAGATTCCACAACATACATTGTTAGATCGCTTCATTTGGTTTCAGATACAAGTCACGACCTTTTGGGGATGGGCAAGTGACTAAATCGATGGCAGGAGGATTGAAACCGGACTTTCACACATTTTCACACCTTCCAAAAATATCTGTGGCCATTATTATAGATTCAGATTTATCAATACTGCTTTGGACTAGTCCGTCCCTGGTGTTCTAAATGGATTGTTTTCCACGGACATATCAAGTAAGGGTTCAAATTATCACTAAGCTGTCAAAATGTGGTTGGCTTATACAGAGTCGTTCGAAAGTTACTTAAAGAGAAGCAATTTCTAGTAGCTTTCTTTAGGGGCTTGTTTCTCCGTATGACATTGTTTTGTGTTCTATGTCTAATTATGTATACGAGAGTTGGACGTGCTATTCTTGGACACTCCGTATAATGTGCTTTATCGGGTCTCTAGGCTTACTAGTTCCGCTACAGACCTAGGACAGCACAGATACACAGCAGTTTTACATGAGATTTGATCAAAAGTAGAAGGAAATTTGAAAACTCATACTTGGTCAAATTTCCTCATACACGGTAACGGTATGGTATCTTTACTGTCGTCACTTTATGAATATTTTTAAAATGTGATTCTTGACACGTATAAACTATATTTTTTAAAGGGGGCAATATTCTATAGACGTACAGTTGCGGAAAATAGAATGATGGGTGGTAATGATAATGTCGACATCAAGGAGTTATTAAAAGTCATCGACGGCACTCTCACTTACGTGGAAAAAAAAGGTACAATGTAGTAGATATGTCTATTCTACGCGCAAATACAGAGAATTTTCTTGAGAATCCTGCATGGTTTTTTAGTTTAAATAGTCCACCTCAATAGATCTGGTAATTATGGACTTTATGAATTTAAAACACGATCCAGTATACGAGGAGAGATAAAGCAAAATTTCAATATTAAAACCCCGTAAATGTTGCTCTTCAATATTATCGTTTTTGATGGTTTTTAACGTAGTCACTAATCTGTGGTCAAAATTACAAATACACATATGTATTATAAATTTCGAACTACGGTGATTGGCTTAAGGCTTAAAGAATGCTTGTCCCATTTTTTCACCAATGACACGATTTGTTTACACATGGAATATTAAAAAATAGTTCTAAAAATATTTTAGACGTTGATAACCAAAATATAATAGAAATAGGTATGAATGTAATCATGTACATAGATACCAAAATCGGAGCTTTTTCAAAGTATGAGAATAAACGCCAAACCACTTTCCCTGAGATTTCTCTAATTATCTCTGAGAGCTTTTCGTAAATTTCCCAGGATAATTTCGTATCATATGAAATGCGACTCTTACCTGCTTTTTGAGTTGTAAAAAATTCTTAAGCGGAGTAGCATATTTCCTGCAAAAATTTGGCTGGTAGGAATAACATTTATTATAAGAAAAGTAAACTTTAAACTGAATTTCGGCCCAGTTAACGTATTCCTCTGATATCTCCTGGTCAGCTTTCACTATATCGCATGATATGTAGCATATTGTATACTATATTTACCGCGAGGCAATGAGTATAATACCCGTTGGTGAGCTTTCTGTCAGTAAACGACATAAATGTCAAAGTGATTAATTTTAAATATCGTTTTCGTGCTGCAATCACTTAATAGATCATTCTAACCACCATGATCTGTCTCTGGTCGTTAAAATGCCTTCATGCTGCATTATGCTATCGTTCAGAAAACGATCCTAATTTGACAATGAGAAATATCTTTTTGTGATTTTCACTATCTTCCCAGCGAGAAAATGGTAAAAGGTAAAGGACTGGGGGCGCAAAATAGCGATGTTGTCCGATATTCTTTGAAAATATTACTGAACTTTAGAGCATCTTCAACGCTACCTACGTGGTGTTTTAAATTCGACTCTCACCGCAAACGGTAAGAGATACGTAGTCTGTTAACTGAAGGCAAAGTTATGTTACGTTGGTAACTAAGAAGATTGTACTTAGAAAGTTTTTCATTTCAGAATATTTTCGTAGATGGAGATGGAAAACTGAATGTACCCAAAATCGTTTTTATTTTATCCTGACCTTGTTTGAGATGGCGTCTATAAGAAAAAATAAAGATGATGATTCAGTGCAAGAGAACTTTATATATTGGAATTCTAATGATGCCACGTAGTAGAGGAGAAAGAGCGACGATGATGAGTTCCATAAAAAATGAAGTTAGGGAAAATAAAAGCCATTTTGAAAAAATAAGTTTATTCGGTAATATAAATATTTTTTAAGTAAAATATATGAAAGATTAACGACGGAAATCTTGATTTGAACCTAAGTCAATAGTTTCCGTGTCAAAAATAGACAACCTTTTCAGTGTACCGGATTTTATGAATCTGTTACATCCGCCATCTTCTTGGCCGTATTTTTTGTTTGTTTCACTTATTTTTTATTTTTTTTTAGTAAAAATGAGTTAATATAAATGTTATGGCCAACACAAGCTGAATGTCCGTAATTTTGCCACTCCCGAATAGAGTGACGTACCCGCAAACGTATGAATGGAGGCGTCTGCGTCCTCAAAAAAAAGCCAAACGTTTGTAGAGGTTTGGTGTTTGTGGCAAGCGGGTGCGGCATTATCGTTTTCAGAAGCCCGATGGTGAGAATCAAATTTTAATCATCCAGTATACTCATACAATTATAGCTTAATTCATTATTTGAATCAATAACTATAAGCTATAAAGGTCTTCGAGAGTATGTAACTGAAAAACGAAATCAAAATTCAAGGAGAAAATCGGTAGGAAAATATATTTCTAAACTGCTGTCTTGATTCGGGTCTAAAGGCCGTCGTCGGTTGGAATTTCTTCCTAACGTTTCGCTAGCACGAGTGGCAAGCTTCTTCAGAGGTCCTTCCATCTTCGATGCTGTCTACAGTCTACTGTCTAGGAAGAAATTCCAACCGACGACGGCCTTTAGACCCGAATCAAGACAGCAGTTTATCAACTGGCCGCGAAAGTCTTAACCAATTTTTCAAAATATATTTATATTGCGAGTACACACAATGCGGGTAGACATGTTTTCCTTAAACATATAATAACAAATAGGAAATTACATTTTTGTTATTGCGTACAGACCATTGGTAAACAGAATTTCTATAAATATAAAAAACAAATTAACATTAAAGCTTCTCAAGAAAACTAATTTTGTATATTGTTACAAAAACAATCGGGCACATCATTGTAAGAGTTGTGGTTCAAAATCCGGTCAGCTCCTTTCTTTTTAATTGTATCATCATCATAGAAAGTCTAGAAATACCTTAAAAATCGTGGAAAATGAAGACGTCTTCGGTATTTCTACGGAAAAATCGGTAGGTTCGGTAACACTGATGCTGAAAGTTTCAAAGGAACTTTCAAGCTGTAGCGTAAACGGTACCTGATGCATTATGCCGTTTGTAGGGCTGTCAGTGGATATTTTTTTATACTCCAACCAGCACGAAGGCCTAAGGCCTAAACACCCATGGGGTACCGTGAGGCTGTTGGGGGATAGAGGGGAAAGGGGGAACGCCACACGGACTCTGGCAAGGGAACACGTGTGCATGCAACATGCACACATTCTGGCCCCGCGTACGAGATCCGCCGGGTGGTACCTCCGCGTACGACAGTCAGAGACCGTCTACTACCTACGGACAATCACAACATCCATAGCCAAGAGAAATTTTTTTCTTGGGACGGGATTCGAACCCGCACAGCGTACGGCGACTGATCAGGGGACCGAACAGTCTACTACTGCGGCCACCGCTGCTGCCCGGTAACTCCTTGACTTTCATAGTCTTTTCTCTCCTTCAGAAAGGCTGGGGTATTTCTAGATTTCTACTGTTCCGTGTCAACGTCAGCGCTCTTTTATTGTGAAGTTATGTTTTCTTTTTGAATCGTAGGAAATTTCAGCCTGCAAAAGCAGACGACATACATCAAAAGCATGGACAATTTGATACAAATAGATATTTGCGACATAACTTCAAAATAGAGTGCGTACACGGAACAGTAGAAAACTATGAAAATCAAGGCGGCTATAAAGGCGTCCTGCAATTGAAGGAACGACTGACGATACGGCTCTGACGATATCGATAGACGTACCGATACTACACCGTTTCTCATTTTGCTTTCTTTCGCTGGGCAGATGTTATTGAGTATCCCCTGTATGTAGTGAGTGTAGATACATCCGCCACAATATCCTGTATCCGCGCAACCAAGACAAGCCGAGGCATTCACCGTACTTCGTTGTTCCAATGTCAAGGCGCTTTCATTTATTTTTATTACAGAGAGGCATCGCCAGCAGCTGTCCATTGCCGAGCTTCGACCACGTTCTGCCGCTTGACGCTCGACGCTTGCTGCAGGCTTGTCCAACAACCATGACAAGGTCGCTGGAGCACAGCATACTTCCAAGTCTGCTCGCTGGGATTCTGTTGCTTCTGGTATGCGCACTTTTTTATTAACCAACGCCATTAGAAAGTACAACCGGTGCACTAGATATTATTGATCATATCTGTTGCATCATTACTTTGTTGGAGATAGAGACATCTGTGACTGATTGATCTCGTATCCTCCCAACTGGCCAATAAATGATACCGCATACGAGGTCTGTAATTTAAGTGCTGAGACTGATTTTTTTAATTTAAATACAGGCTCCGGCAAAATGATCTTCCACATTTCAAGCTTCAATAAAAAACGCTATTGTAAATGCTACTTAGATTTTATTTTTATTAACTGAAAATGTATGATTCCATTTGTTTTTATTAAGTGGCGACCATTGTTTTCGATACACATTCGAAGCTGATTTCTGAAAGTTTCCATCACTAGAGCAGCAATATGAGGCAATATTCCTGTAATTTCTTGGCTGCTTTCATCTCGTCAAGGGTCCGAGGAAGGTGTTGAAAAACCTTCGCTTTCAAGTAGCTCAAAGGAAAAAGTCGCATGGGGCAAGATCAGGCGAACGCGCAGGCCACCCAACGTCTCCTCGTAACGAGATTTCGCGTCCTGGTAACGAGTCGTAGCACAAACGCTACGGACAACCAAATGTCATAGTCTTCCCTCCAAATCCGGCATCTCCAGTGTTGACTGATCGATCGCTACTTTGCCAGTCTCATCACTTAATTCACAGACCTCGTACAATAGTTGAAGATACATCATAGATACGATTATTTGGCAGTTTATAAAGGATGTTTTTTTTTGAGGTATAGAACTTTAAATTGCAATAACACAAAAATGGATTATTCGATTGACATGATTTTTTTTATACCAAAGATGTGGCATTACATTTTAAATATGATTTCTGCCATATGACTGCTACGGCTGGCTCGGATGTAGTCCAATCTGGACGTCCAATTTTCGATGACTTTTTCCAACATTTGCGGCCGTATCTTGGCAATAACATGGCGAATGTTGTCTTCCAAATGGTCAAGCGTTTGTGGCTTATCCGCATGGACCAATGACTTTACATAGCCCCACAGGAAATAGTCTAGCAGTGTTAAATCACAAGATCTTGAGGCCAATTCACAGGTCCAAAACGTGAAATTAGGCGGTCACCAAATGTGTCTTTCAATAAATCGATTGTAGCACGAGCTGTGTTGCGCGGTCTTGTTGGAACCACAGCTCCTGGAAATGATGATTGTTCAATTCAGGAATGAAAAAGTTAGTAATCATGGCTCTATACCGATCACCATTGACTGTAACGTTCTAGCTATCATCTTTTTTGAAGAAGTACGGACCAATGATTCCACCAGCCCATAAAGCGCACCAAACAGTCAGTTTTTCTGGAAGTAACGCTGTTTCGACATGGACTTGAGGATTAGCTTCACTCCAAATGCGGCAGTTTTGTTTGTTGACGTATCCATTCAACCAGAAGTGCGCTTCATCGCTATACAAAATCGGGTACAACGGCAAACTCGTTTTGGGCCCATTCAACGAATCTACGCCTTGCTTGATGATCGTTTGGCTTCAATTCTTGCAAGAGTTGGATTTTGTAAGCACGCAAACCAAGATCCTTCCGCAAAATCTTCCATAAAGTGGCTGGACACAGATCCAATTCCTGTGCTCGATGGCGGATGGACTCATTCGGGTCTTCCTCTACAGTAGCAATAGCTTCTTCTGTACGCACCGTACGGCGTCTCTGGGGATGCGAGTTATCAATTAGAGTAAACGTGGTGCGAAAACGTTCCATGGTTAATCGAATTAACTGCTCTGATGGACGATTTTGTCGACGATAAAATGGACGTAGTGCGCGATACGTATTCCGTACAGAACCATTATTTTCGAAATAAAACTGCACAATTTGCAAGCGTTGTTCAGGCGTGAGTCTATTCATGATGAATTGCCAAACCAAACTGACAATAAATCACATGACAGCTGTCAAATCGGTCGCCATCTTCAAAAGTAATGCCAACTTAAAGATCTATGCCTCGAAAAAGAACACCCGTTACGTACTTTGGGCAATGAATAAGGTGACAAGTAGATACGCCTCAACTTTCAGTCCGGGAAGTATATTTGCATTCTAAATCGCTTTTTACATACTCTTATTCAAAAAGGACTTCTTTTAACATACCTGCATGATGACAGCACCAAAATTGCTTCAAACGTTGCTTAAACAAAGATGTACAATAAAAATATGACCTAAAATGCTTTGGAATTTTGTTAATGGACGTTTGAAGAATATTCAGGAACTTTGACAACATTAAAATTTACGTTTTTAAAATGTTGTATTTCGGGGTCGCCAAATAGCATATTTCGTATTGTTTCAAATATTAAATCGCGTATACCTCGAAAACTACGAACCTCAGAGTACATAGGAGAAAACAATTTTTGGGATTTGCCTAAAAAAATTGTATAAATAGGTTACAAATTTTATAGATGCAATTATCTAAGAAAAACCATGTCTTGAAGCCGTCTAACAGCACAATTATTTGCAAATGCTTTAATTCCTCAAAAATAACCTTGAATATAGGAATTTAATGACAGAACTATCAAGAAACTGACATGTCAAGTGCACTTTGATCCTTACTACATGAATAGCTCCTTCTACCTTGTCTGAATTCGATGATATTATTATTATAACACTACAGTGTTTCAAAGAGGAAGGTAAGTAAGGAGACGATTCTTGGGTCTGTTTTAACAAAAAACTTGAATGTTTCCTAAGCATTTTAATTGTTCACACAGTAGTAAAGTTCAAAAAAAAAATTAATATTTCTTGTTTCTTATAGGTTGTTACATAATTTTATTACAGTTTTTGAATAAATAAATGCGTGTGTAAATATGATTCCTGATTCACGATTTTCGGGTAAAAAATAAGAAACTATATGTTGTTTGTTATCTTGTAACCATTTCCACATTAAATCCATGGTCATGCAGGAAAGTGTTTCTCATGTATGAGTCAAGAACTGAGTTATTCCAAAAATATTTATTATTCCTTATTTTTCTTTTTTCTATGTAGCCTAATTTCAAAACCTAAAGACCCTGTGCTGTGGCGTGCGCACACGCTCATATCAAGCTTTATTCCTGACGTAAACCCAAGAATCGCCCACTTAAGTATTTGACCTCATTTTTGAAACACCTTTTATATACTAAGCTAGTGCGGCAGAGATCGTGTATCACTTTTGATTTACATAACACATACTCAAATTGATACCAATAGCTAGTTTCCTTGCCAAATTCTAGATTTACCCAAATTTTCATATCCTCATAATCTTTCCTTTCAAAGGATATCTCTTGTCACAGTTTTGCTAAAACTGACAATGAACTATGTGCTACTTACTTAAATGTAATATTGTTCTACGATTCAACAATTTAACAAGGATATACCTACATACATGTTATACTATATAATCAACATTTACCATTTAAATCGTTCCGATTAGTGGGGTACTATCACTTGTGGTATGTGAGCTTATTTACTACCTTGCTCATTAGAAAGTTTTATTATTCAGTGCATCGTGCTGCTCCAGTAGATATTGGTACTCGGTACACACCTTCTACATCTATTTACACACAGAAGCTTACAACAAAATGAGTCAATTTCTTTACGACCATGTATTCCATGTAGAATGGAATGTGAATTATATGTTAACGGATGCAAATTTGCCAGGTTATACAACTTTGGTTACAAGTATGTCACACTGTATCAAAACATGACATCAAGTAGGTTGACTGTACAGGGTGTCATTTAATTGATAAAATATACAGGATATGATTCCTTAGCTCTTTTTAGGAAGAACAGTTTATATGAACATATGTCCTAAACGTCTAAGCTTTTGAGCTACAGGGTGTTGAAATTTTAAGAAAAAAGTCGTTTTCTTATCATAAGATTAATACTCTTCTGGATATTTTCATAAAATTTGACACGCACCTAGCAAGCACCAATAGGCATTTTTGACGTGAAATACTTTTTCATATTTCTACCAGTGGCGTCTCTACGGGATGTATACTGGGAATTTTCAAAAAAATATGACACGCCATTGCTTTTTCGAAAATAAGAAACATTTTTGAAATCCTAATTTATTTTGCTTGACTTTTTAATTGACTTTACTTGAATAAAAAAAAATTAAAGAGTAACACATCTTACCTACAAACAACCACATGAGATTTTAACGATTTTGAAATGGATGAAAATTTAAAAAAGTTTGCAAGCAGTTTTGACAATTTATTCTAATAATAATAATATATAATACTATTTAATTCAATTATCACAAGAGTTGTTAAAAGTGTCATCCTTCTGTTAGAACACAGGCTTCAATTCTCATTCTCACGGATTGGCGAACCCTTTCAAAAATTCCAGAAGAGGTCAAATTTATTGAAAATAAATGAGTATTTTAAAAATATTTGTTTTTGAAAAAAGTATACAGTATACAGTACGAACGCCACTGATAGAAATATTAAAATATATTCTACATCAAAAAATGCCTATTTTTGCTTAGTAGGTGCATTCCAAATTTCATGAAAATATCTAGAACAGTATTGAAGTTATGATAAGGAAAGGATTTTTTTATTAAAATTTTAACACCCTGTAGCTCAAATGTTAAGAGGCTTAGGACATATGTTCATATGACTATTCTTCCTAAAATGAGCTCTTGTATTTTTAGCCATCAATAAATTACACCCTGTACACTTCCCACGCTATTCTGTCATCAAGAATTAGATTATATACGATTTATTACCAGACTTAACGCCATATGAACTATGTAAGATATAGAGTCCACAATGTTTATTCAAAATACTCTGATAAAATTGAAGCCTGACTTGGTATGCTCCCTTAAATACGATAGATATGTACGAGTATATGAATTGTATATCTGATCCAATGCGGATGACACATTTTTAAGGATTTGAGCTTTCTTAGGTCAATGTGTAAAATAGAAGAACTTTGAATCAATGTATCAATGTACATTCAAATGCAAAGTTTGTAGGCATATCAGATGCCCAGTGA